TATAGTCCCCGGGGTATCAGGTGGCGCGGTTGCCTTGAGATGCCCGTGTATAGACGGGAACCTGCGCGTGTCCGTCACTGGGGAGGGAGCGACTCCCCTGGGGTGGAGGAGGGGGGAGCAGAGGGGGGGGGGGGGTGGACGCTGGAGACACTGATATCACAGCACACAAAGATAAAGATCCCCCGTGTAGCCTTAACAGACTGTAGGGGCAAGTGCTGTTAGCGAGCACCCATGAAGGCCGTAACGGTACACGAGGGGGTGGGTGGCCAGCACCACGCCCGACCGCCTTTGTCTCCCCGGTGGCGATGTTTACACACCGCACCAGGTACTCATTTGAGGCCGAGTCGACCTAGGGGAGGCCCGGGACGGGTTCAGATAATCGTCACTGGTGTTGGCCGTGAGCGTGAATCGAACCCGTGTCGCAGCGTAGCGCTAACCGCTACACCACCGCTCCCCACGCGTGTCCGTCACTGGGGAGGGAGCGATTCCCCTGGGGGTGGAGGAGGAGGGGAGCAGAGGAGGTGGGGGGCTGGAGACACTGGATATCACAGCACACACACACACAACCACACACACATACAAGGACACACACGCGAAGCGGCTGCGCAAGGCACATTTAAAGTGAGCGAATGCTGCGAGCCAAAGCAACTCAAGAGCCGAATAGTGCCTCGGGGTTTTAAAATAATATAGATTTAGTTATTTACAAAGCAATCATAACAGTTTCAAGGAATATAAGTAACTTTGATATCTGTTGCTTATATTCTCCACAACGCTGCTCACTCATTATTCTGTAATGATAGTTTCGTGTTAAACTAAGACCCGCATCTCACACATCTGGCAGTTCACCAACAAAGGGGTTCCAGCAAAGACTGACTGCTGATGAGACACTGGATATTGAAACCGGTAGTCCAGTTTTGCTCGTGTTGAACCAATGCTGCTGAAACAATAAAAATAATAAAATAAAACATAAAATAATTCTCACGACGTTTCGGCCACAACGCAAGCAGCCGTCATCAGATGAAGACCAGGTCTGTCGGGGAGAAAGAACCAAGAAGATGAATCCCTGCAGTCACGAAAGCTTTACATCGAAATTTAATGCTGCTGAACTTATGCACCTCGAGAAGGTTGTGTGGCTGATTGGATGTGCAACATTTTATGTGACTCTGGTGAAACCTTGGAAGTTAAGCAGGTTGGAGCCTGGCTCGCGCTTGGATGCATAACAGGTGTTATAGGCTGCCGCGGGGCTACGTTGAAATCCATTGCACTGGTACTGCTGCTCCACCGCTCTGCATCAACCCGCACTGACCAGCGAGGTGAAGTATGGACGAACAACGCCACGGCGTGGAGAGGATGCATGTAAGTGAGATGCGTGTGCCTGGCCTGGCCCTGCCTGACGCTGGCTCCGCCCACTGCGCTTGTAGCTCCGCCCACTGCGCTTGTAGCTCCGCCCACTGCGCTTGTAGCTCCGCCCACTGGCCATGTAGCTCCGCCCACTGCGCTTGTAGCTCCGCCCACTGCGCTTGTAGCTCCGCCCACTGGCCATGTAGCTCCGCCCACTGCGCTTGTAGCTCCGCCCACTGGTCTTGTAGCTCCGCCCACTGCGCTTGTAGCTCCGCCCACTGCGCTTGTAGCTCCGCCCACTGGTCATGTAGCTCCACCCACTGGTTATGTAGCTCCGCCCACTGGTCTTGTAGCTCCGCCCTCTCCCCACGTAGCTCCGCCCACTGCGCTTGTAGCTCCGCCCACTGCGCTTGTAGCACCGCCCACTGCCCAGGTAGCTCCGTCCACTGCTCTTGTAGCTCCGCCCCCTCCCCACGTAGCTCCGCCCACTGCGCTTGTAGCTCCGCCCCCTCCCCACGTAGCTCCGTCCACTGCTCTTGTAGCTCCGCCCACTGCCCAGGTAGCTCCGCCCACTACCCAGGTAGCTCCGCCCACTACCCAGGTAAGCTGCGCCCATTGCGCAGGTAGCTCCGCCCACCGCGCAGGTAGCTCCGCCCCCTGCCCAGGTAGCTCCGCCCACTGGCTGGGTAGCCCCGCCTCCTTACGGAACATTTTTAGTCAGTGGTTCTTAACCCTTCACTGCAACCTTGCAACTCCTTTGGTTCTCAATGGTAAAAACAAAGTGGAACGTTAATAAACACATAGGTTTGATGAAACAAAGTAGTTGTACTTACGTGCCCGTGCTTAAATAGTATTTTCGACGATTTACCTTCTAAAACGAAATCTGGCTCCGTCTCGCACCCCCAGTTTAAGAACCACTGGTTTAAAGAAACGTGGGACAAAGTTACGATCTTCGCAAAAGCCTCACGGGGGAACAACGAAACGTTGGAATTACGAACCCAACGCGACTGCCCCGGCCAAAGCATCACGTTTGGTGCCTTGATCTTTGTATAAGGGGCCGTCCATAAATGACGTCACGCGATTTTGGACGATTTTTGACCCCCCCCCCCCTTCGTCACACGGCGTCACAAAAGTCAGACCCCCCCCCCCTCAAATATGACGTCACAAAGCTCTGCCCCCCCCCAAAAAATATATAAACATGCTTCAAATCGCTTTAAACTATTGTCATTGTAGTGCGTATTTAATGCGGCGCTGCACTCTGATGTTGTAGGAGAAAACATTTATTAAAAAAGTCTATTTAATTAAGTAGAACGTGTTGTCTATATTTATTTAAAGTTGCGCATTTTGATGTGACGTCACATTTCTAAACCCCCCCCCCCTCGTCACACATCGTCACAAATGTCTCACCCCCCCCCCTCCCCCCCTAGGTGCGTGACGTCATTTATGGACGGCCCTTTAGGGCCCGTTACGCAAGTGTTGAGCTGGCTCCCAACAGACAAAGCAAACACAAGTTACAGCAATAACGTTTATAAAGCGACCAGAACAAAAACACGAACATGCGAGGCTCTGGTGTTTCCAGGTGAAATGTAAGAAATTAAGAAATAGAAACAAATAGATCCTTTCCCAGCAATGTCGGCTCCATCCCCAGTGTCTCCACCTCCATAGCAATGATACCCACGGGGGTAGCTGGGGCCTTGACTGAGGGACCCCTTCAGGGGAGAAAGGGGGCCCTGGCTGAGGGAACAGGAGAAAAGGGGGTCCAGGTTGAGGGAACAGGGACCCCTGCAGGAGAGAAAGGGGGTCTCTGGCTGAGGGAACAGGAGAGAAAGGGGGTCTCTGGCTGAGGGAACAGAGACCCCTGCAGGAGAGAAAGGGGGTCTCTGGCTGAGGGAACAGAGACCCCTGCAGGAGAGAAAGGGGGTCTCTGGCTGAGGGAACAGAGACCCCTGCAGGAGAGAAAGGGGGTCTCTGGCTGAGGGAACAGAGACCCCTGCAGGGGAGAAAGGGGGTCCAGGCTGAGGGAACAGGGACCCCTGCAGGAGAGAAAGGGGGTCTCTGGCTGAGGGAACAGGGACCCCTGCAGGAGAGAAAGGGGGTCTCTGGCTGAGGGAACAGAGACCCCTGCAGGGGAGAAAGGGGGTCCAGGCTGAGGAAACAGGGACCCCTGCAGGAGAGAAAGGGGGTCTCTGGCTGAGGGAACAGGAGAAAAGGGGGTCCAGGCTGAGTGAACAGGGACCCCTGCAGGAGAGAAAGGGGGTCTCTGGCTGAGGGAACAGGAGAAAAGGGGGTCCAGGTTGAGGGAACAGGGACCCCTGCAGGAGAGAAAGGGGGTCTCTGCTGAGGGAACGAGAGGGGTCTCTGGCTGAGGGACAGAGACCCCTGCAGGAGAGAAAGGGGGTCTCTGGCTGAGGGAACAGAGACCCCTGCAGGGGAGAAAGGGGGTCCAGGCTGAGGGAACAGGGACCCCTGCAGGAGAGAAAGGGGGTCTCTGGCTGAGGGAACAGGAGAAAAGGGGGTCCAGGCTGAGGGAACAGAGACCCCTGCAGGGGAGAAAGGGGGTCGTGTCTGAGGGAACAAAGACCCCTGCAGGAGAGAAAGGGGGTCCTGACTGAGTGAACAGGGACCCCTGCAGGAGAGAAAGGGGGTCGTGTCTGAGGGAACAGAGACCCCTGCAGGGGAGAAAGGGGGTCCTGACTGAGTGAACAGGGACCCCTGCAGGAGAGAAAGGGGGTCGTGTCTGAGGGAACAGAGACCCCTGCAGGGGAGAAAGGGGGTCGTGTCTGAGGGAACAGAGACCCCTGCAGGGGAGAAAGGGGGTCCTGAGTGAACAGGGACCCCTGCAGGAGAGAAAGGGGGTCGTGTCTGAGGGAACAGAGACCCCTGCAGGGGAGAAAGGGGGTCCTGACTGAGTGAACAGGGACCCCTGCAGGAGAGAAAGGGGGTCTCTGGCTGAGGGAACAGAGACCCCTGCAGGAGAGAAAGGGGGTCTCTGGCTGAGGGAACAGAGACCCCTGCAGGGGAGAAAGCGGGTCTCTGGCTGAGGGAACAGAGACCCCTGCAGGAGAGAAAGGGGGTCCTGACTGAGGGAACATGGACCCCTGCAGGAGAGAAAGCGGGTCTCTGGCTGAGGGAACAGAGACCCCTGCAGGGGAGAAAGCGGGTCTCTGGCTGAGGGAACAGAGACCCCTGCAGGAGAGAAAGGGGGTCCTGACTGAGGGAACATGGACCCCTGCAGGAGAGAAAGCGGGTCTCTGGCTGAGGGAACAGAGACCCCTGCAGGGGAGAAAGGGGGTCCAGGCTGAGTGAACAGGAGAAAAGGGGGTCCAGGCTGAGGGAACAGGGACCCCTGCAGGAGAGAAAGGGGGTCTCTGGCTGAGGGAACAGGAGAGAAGGGGGTCCAGGCTGAGGGAACAGAGACCCCTGCAGGAGAGAAAGGGGGTCCAGGCTGAGTGAACAGAGACCCCTGCAGGAGAGAAAGGGGGTCCAGGCTGAGTGAACAGAGACCCCTGCAGGAGAGAAAGGGGGTCCAGGCTGAGTGAACAGAGACCCCTGCAGGAGAGAAAGGGGTCCAGGCTGAGTGAACAGAGACCCCTGCAGGAGAGAAAGGGGGTCCAGGCTGAGTGAACAGGGACCCCTGCAGGAGAGAAAGGGGGTCTAGGCTGAGGGAACAGGAGAAAAGGGGGTCTCTAGCTGAGGGAACAGGGACCCCTTCAGGAGAGAAAGGGGGTCCAGGCTGAAGGAACAGGGACCCCTGCAGGAGAGAAAGGGGGTCCCTGTTTGGCACCGGGATTGGCTGCCCTCCTTTTCCCGTTCCGGGTCGCTCCGGGCGCTCATGGCCGCGAATTACGAGGAGAGCGATGCTGGTGAGTTATCCCGCTGGGGGGCGAGGGGGACCCGCCAAGGGGACCCGCCAAGGGGACCCGCCAAGGGGACCCGCCAAGGGGACCCGCCAAGGGGACCCTGGAACCCCCAGGGCCCCACGCTTGAGTCGGGGACCCCCTTAGGGGGTCTGGGGATGCGAGATTCTGTTGTGCGCGGGTCGGTTTGGAGCTAGGCCGCACTCGGGCCCCGGCACTTTCCTGCTCGGCTTGGCCGGGGGAGTCGCTCCCTGGGCCGCCGGTGGGGTCCGTGTGGAAGGGGTACGGGACCCCGAGTTAAAACAACGTGGGACCCCCTTTTCTGGGTGAAATTAGACATTAGTAGGGTTTAGCCAGTAAAGGGGGGGCTTTATAATGTCTTAACACACGACGTGTGCGGTTTAGTTTAGGGAGTTTTGCGTCAAACCACTGCTCCACACGCCGTGTCGGTCCCGACGGGCTCGTTTGACCATCACTTCACCGCGCTTGGCAGTGTGAGCGGGAAGCATAGAAATACAGTACAACCCGTGGGCCTGCTTCAGCTCCCGAGGTGAGGTGGGGGTCTCGCCCCCCCCCCGTGTCCCGTGCGCCCCCCCTCGCCCTGTGCCCCCCTCGCCCCCCCCCAACTCGCCCTGTGCCCCCCCCCACCTCGCCCCGTGCCCCCCTCGCCCCCCCCAACTCGCCCTGTGCCCCCCTCGCCCCCCCCCCCCAACTCGCCCTGTGCCCCCCTCGCCCCCCCCCACCTCGCCCTGTGCCCCCCTCGCCCCCCCAACTCGCTCGCCCCGTGCCCCCCTTGCTCGCCCCGTGCCCTCCTAGCCCCGTGCCCCCCCCCCCTCCTAGCCCTGTGCCCCCCCCTACCTCGCCCTGTGCCCCCCTCGCCCCCCCACCTCGCCCCGTGCCCCCCTTGCTCGCCCCGTGCCCTCCTAGCCCTGTGCCCCTCCCCTCCTAGCCCCGTGCCCTCGCCTCGTGCGCTCGTCCCGTGCCCCCCCTCGCTCTGTGCCCCCTCTCCTCGCCCCGTGCCCCCCCCCCCACGTTCTGTGCCCCCCTCGCTCCCCCCACCTCGCCCCGTGCCCCCCTCGTCCCCCCCACCTCGCCCCGTGCCCCCCCACCTCGCCCCATATCCCCCACCTCGCCCCATGCCCCCCCCCCCCACCTCGTTCTGTGCCCCTTGCCCCCCCCCTCGCCCCGTGCCCCCCCCCCCCTCCTCGCCCCGTGCCCCCCCCCCCCACCTCGTTCTGTGCCCCTTGCCCCCCCCCCCTCCTCGCCCCGTGCCCCCCTCAAGACCGACGGTGAGGAGTTCCCTCCGGAATCACTTCTTGGGGCCTGGGTAGAGGCACAGCCCCGCAAGTGCCGCGCACGCCGTTGCTGTCTGAAGGGGCCTCCACCAGAGGGAGCTCTAAGGTTGGGGTGGGCGCGAGGAGAGGGGGGTTCGGGGCGTTTGGTCTACTCCTCCACGTTGCCCCCCAGACGTGTGGAGAGTTGTCCTGGAAGTTGGTCAGCTTTGGTTCAAGCGAGCCTGACGCTGCTGCTGCTGAGACCCTGAATGTGGAAACCGGTGCCGAGCCCTGCTGGTGTTGAGCCCAACGCCGCTGAAATGATGCACTCCCAGCAGGGGAGGCCGTGTGGCAGAGGTCGCAACCGGGTACCCGATACCCGTACCCTACCCGATACCCGGCTACCCAGCCGGGTATCGGGTACCCGTTTGCGACCCTGGTGCGGCCGGGTACGGGTAGGCCGTGAGTCACTGGTGAGTCACCGTTTGTCACTCATTTCCCAACGTCTTGTCTCTTCTCACAATTCAAGTTCCTAGAATCAACCCACCCGCGCCTGCAACATGGCTTCATCCCAGAGGTCACAATCGGGTGCCCGTACCCGTACCCTACCCCCGTACCCTACCGGGTACGGGTATCGGGTAGGGTACTGGTACATGTACCCTGGTGCGGCCGGGTACGGGTAAGGAATCAAAACCCGTTTGCAACCTCTGCCGTGTGGCCGACGATGGCATGGATTTGTGAGTGAGGCGATTTCGCCCGCTTGTCCGCCTGTTTGCGAAACGTCAGCGCTGGCGTGCTCTCTCTCTCTGTCTCTCCGCAGGGAAGTTTATCCCCGCGTCGCGCCGCGCCGACGGGACGTGGAGGAAACCGCGGAGGGTGAAGGAGGGCTACGTGCCACCGGAGGAAGTTCCCGTGTGAGTTCCAACATCGCTAACCGTCGCTAGCCATCGCTAATCATCGGTAACTATCGCTTAACATCGCTAGCCATTGTTAACCATCGCTAGTCATTGCTAACCATCCGAAGCCATCGTGAGCCATTGCAAGTCATTTCTAACCATTGCTAGCTATTGCTAGTCATTACTAACCATCACGAACCATCGCAAACCATAGCAAACCATCGCTAGCCATTGCTAACGTCCCATACGTCACTAGCTGTCCCTGATGATTGGGTTGCACTGCTTTGTAAGAGTTTCGAATGAATTCTGTGTTTCTATTACACTGGTCAACATACTTTTTCTGGCATAAGGTATTCCAACGGGTTAAAGGTTATTTTGGGGTGCTGATTCCAAATCTGGCATCAGTTTTTGTCTATCCCATCAGTTTTTTGAGATATCAAATATTGCATTTTCAATAAAAACTGCAGAAAAAAAATATTAAATAAATGTGGATATCTACATAAAACTATATTTTAAACACACTATCCTAAAAATACAGCACCGTATTTTAACACTAATGCAGTCACTGACTCGCAGCAACTTGCAATCATAAGTGACAGAGTTAATTTCGGGTAAAATCCATGAAAATGGGGTATGCCGATAGCATAAAATGAGATGTGATAGAGAAATTAAATCTGAGACCAGATTTGGAATCAGCACCCTGAAAATAGTCTAAAACGGCTGCAAAAGTCCAGGCCAGATTTTTTTTTTTGTTGACCAGTGTTATCGGTCAGATTATATATTTGATCGTTCGCCATCTTCCCATATCCTTTCTTAGCAAATGAAAGAAATTAAATGTCTACGTATCCCATCAGTTGCTCGGCCTTCTGGGAGTCAATTTCAGCAGCATGGGTTCAGAACAAGCAAACTGTGGGCCGTTTTGATATTCAGTGTCTCAACAGAAGTGAGGCTTGCTGAGCCAACGCTGATGAGCTGCCAGCTGTTTATAAGCAGGGCCCTTTGCTAGTAGACGCATGACTATAAAAAACAACACAGAATAATTATCGTGAGCATCATTGTGAGACAAATAAGTAACAATAAATGATCAAGTTTCGATTTAAAGCTTTCGTGACTGCAGGGATTCATCTTCTTGGTTCTTTTGGTAAAGTCACGTAGAAGGGAAATAATAAAATAAAATAAATATTTTATTATGTTTTATTTTTATTATTTTATTATTTCCCTTCTACGTGACTTTACCGAAAGAACCAAGAAGATGAATGATCAGTTCACACGTAGGCTTTCGCCACCATATATTATTGTTATTATATTAGTCGTAATAAAGGTTGGAAATGTTGTGGATTTACTCCAAGCCCGTAATTATAATATTAGGGGGAACACATCCCCCCCCAATATTAAAATATGCTCAAAATGTCCCCCCCAATATATTGCTGTAAAATAGATTTCTGTTTATATGATTGTGGTTATGGTTGTACTTTATTAATCCCTAATCTCTGCCATTACATACAATGAAACAAGAAAAGATGAAAAAGTAAAAACAGAGCAATGTAATACAATACACTTAGACATTATTGTAAAACATAAATTAAAAGTCCATCTTATGTATTAGTGAATTTTAAATATTTTAGGCAGGAAATGATAGTAGTAACTAATTGGCACATTGTGTTTAGGTGACAAGCTCTTCCTGGTTGGCAGTGTTGGGTGGTGGCGGGTTTAACAATACATTTACATGTGCACGATCTAACGCAACAACAAAAACACTTTTATCGTGAATAAATCATCAAGACAATCCACCTGCACATAATGCGTGGGGGCAGATACGGGAGGCAGGAGTACAGTCTGTGTAATGAAATCCACAAGTATCAACCCTATTGTTGGTTCTTTCGATAAAGTCACGTAGAAGGGAAATAATAAAATATAAATATATAAAACAATAAAAATTCTCACGACGTTTCGACGGCAACACAAGCAATCATCATCAAAACGTCCATCCTATGTGTTGCCACAAGCAATCATCATCAGGTGTGAAATCCACAGCAATTTTCTTTGCTGTGGATTTACACCTGATGATGATTGCTTGTGTTGCAGTCGAAACGTCGTGAGAATTTGTATTGTTTAATATTTTTATTATTTCCCTTCTACGTGACTTTACCGAAAGAACCAAGAATATGAATCCCTGCAGTCACGAAAGCTTTAAATCAAAAAGTATGTTACCCTCTTTATTTCTCGCTCCGGCTTGGCTCCACACGGCCATCTCCATGCACCTCTCTCTCCCCGCGACTCCCGCTCTCTTCCTCGCCCCGCCTCTCTCTTCCCGCTTCTCCTCCAGTTGTATCCCCCGTAGCGTCAGCTGATAGCTACGTGCCGCGTTATCGCAGCCCTGAGTAATCCTATACAGTAAAACCTTGGATTGCGAGCATAATTCATTCCAGAAATGTGTTTGTAATCCAAAGCACTCGTTATGATCACGTGACGCTCGGCAGACAAAGCGTGATCACGTACTACGTGTATTGCAAGAACTCGCTCGTTTATCAAATAAAAATTAATAAAAAAAAATTGCTCGTCTTGCAAAACGCTCGCAGACCATGTTACTCGCAATCCAAGCTTTTACTGTACATGTGTAATAAAGGACTCTTTCTCAGTGTCGATCTCCGTTGTCCTTTATTTGGGTTCGTATAAATCTCGCTCACACGGCGTCCTCGCTCAGGCCCGCGTCTCCTCCGACGATCACTCCACAGCCTCACTGCTGCTCCGCCCTGCAGCCACACTGCCGCTCCGTTCTGCTGCCTCACTGCTGCTACGCTCTGCAGCCTCACTGCTGCTACGCTCTGCAGCCTCACTGCTGCTCCGCTCTGCAGCCTCACTGCTGCTCCGTTCTGCAGCCTCACTGCTGCTACGCTCTGCAGCCACACTGCTGCTCCGCTCTGCAGCCTCACTGCTGCTCCGCTCTGCAGCCTCACTGCTGCTCCGCTCTGCAGCCTCACTGCTGCTCCGTTCTGCAGCCTCACTGCTGCTACGCTCTGCAGCCACACTGCTGCTCCGCTCTGCAGCCTCACTGCTGCTCCGTTCTGCAGCCTCACTGCTGCTCCGCTCTGCAGCCACACTGCTGCTACGCTCTGCAGCCTCACTGCTGCTACGCTCTGCAGCCTCACTGCTGCTCCGCTCTGCAGCCTCACTGCTGCTCCGCTCTGCAGCCTCACTGCTGCTACGCTCTGCAGCCTCACTGCTGCTCCGCTCTGCAGCCACACTGCTGCTCCGCTCTGCAGCCACACTGCTGCTACGCTCTGCAGCCTCACTGCTGCTCCGCTCTGCAGCCACACTGCTGCTCCGCTCTGCAGCCACACTGCTGCTCCATTCTGCAGCCTCACTGCTGCTCCGTTCTGCAGCCACACTGCTGCTCCGTTCTGCAGCCTCACTGCTGCTCCACCCTGCAGCCACACTGCTGCTCCGCTCTGCAGCCTCACTGCTGCTCCGCCCTGCAGCCACCCTGCTGCTGCGCTCTCCAGCCACACTGCTCCTCCTCGCTCACGGCAAAGCCTTCCACAGCCCGCTAGCCCTCTGCGCCCTGACACCAATGGCTGACGGTGTCGACATCTCCCACCGCGTGGCGATCGCGCCACCCTCCCCGTACTGCCCAGCGTGGCCTCCTCCCGTTTCACTCAGTCTCAACTCCCGATCCCCTTCCGGTTCTCTCCCTAAATCCGCTCCCCCACGTGACCCTAACTCCTCCCTCTCCTCATGTGACCCAGACTCCGCCCCCCTCAATGCTTGCTCGCATTACATATGTGTGCTCCTTGGTGTTGTTGAAGGAGTGACTGACTGACCGCACGACTGCGTGGCTGCTTTGTCATTGGCACCGCACAGCTACGAGAACAAGTACGTGAAGTTCTACAAGAGCAAGCCGAGCCTGCCGCCGGGACTCTCTGTCGCTGCCGCCGACGAACTGAAGCAGAAATCGCAGCAGGAGGGCGACCAGTCCAGCGGCGCCGCGCTTTCCAAAACCGCCAAGAAGAACCTTCGACGCAAAGAGAAGCGCAAGCAGCAGCAGGAGCCCCACGAGGGCGGCGGTGAGCACGATGAGAACGACGTTGCCCACGACAGCGGTGGGGACGATGACACCGCGGCCTTGAGCGAGGCTCTGCACAGGAGCAGCATCGCCGAACGGGTGAGCTCCACCGCAACTACCGCAACCACCATTCCTAGTCGCTCCCGCTCGCCGGCTCTACCGTTAAACCACAGAGAGAGCCGAGGTGGCCGGGTGGCTCGGCAGTCACGGCGGTGCTGAGCCGGTGCCGCTGAGACGCTGGGTTCGAGTGCGGGTGTCGGCCGCCTGTGGTGAAACCGGGTTCTCAAGTGTAGCGAGTGGATGGTGACACCCATGGACCCGCACAGAGTTCCCATGAACTCGCATTGGCTGATTTTTTTACGTGCTTTTTATTAACTCATTCTGTCTGTTGTTGTTGTCCTCAAATCTTATAACTCAATTTTAACCCACTTTCTAATGTGCTATCGACTGCAAACTTGGTATACTTATGTCATACTGATGACAATACTATATTGTATCATAAAAAAAAAATTATATTTTTTTGAAAAAGATATTTTATATGTTATGTTTCGGCTTGGGTCTAATTGTCCACGCTCAACTGACGTTGGCTGTAATTGGCCACGGTCCCTTACGTTATGGCAAGCTTCGGGGCCACTTCCTGGAGTCGTGGAGTTCTGCCATTACTAGTACGCTACATTAAAGCGAGTTTTAAAACATTTTTTAAAAATATTACTTATGACTAACATGAGCGCTCAAGTGTAGCGAATTTCCGGTCTCAGTACGGTCACCAGTGACCGCGCGATAAAAGAGCGTCGCGTTTGATTTTGGTTGTGCCACACACACATTGGCTAAATTCCTGCTCTGATATTTAAAACTTCCGGTTTGACTGTCGTGTGATGAACATTACTTTCTGCGCGAGGTCGAGCGGTAGAAGTTTGCAGTTTGTTTTCCGCGGGCCACCCTGGTTAACACCGCGGCGTGGAATTAACCACAACACACTCGGCGCCGCCTCCTCCACTCACGGTGGATGTTAAAAGGTCCCGTGACGTCTTTAAAAGAGGGGCCGGCCATTGTGTTGCCGGCAAAGGTCGCAACCGGGTACCCGATACCCGTACCCTACCCATTTGCGACCCTGGTGCGGCCGGGTACGGGTACGGGTAGGCCGTGAGTCACTGGTGAGTAACTGTTTGTCACTCATTTCCCAACGTCTTGTCTCTTCTCACAATTCAAGTTCCTAGAATCAACCCACCCGCGCCTGCAACATGGCTTCATCCCAGAGGTCGCAATCAGGTACCCGATGCCCGTACCCTACCCGTACCCGGCCAGGTACGGGTACGGCCGGGTACGGGTACCGGTTTGCGACTCTGGTGCGGCCGGGTACGGGTAAGGAATCAAAACCCGTTTGCGACCTCTGGTTGCCGGCACCACGGTCTGAATTTTCCCCAAATTAAACTCATTGCGGTCGTCGCTTTTCTCCTTAAACCTAGCAGGGCCCCCTCCCCAATGGGAGTCTTGAGACCTAGGGAGGGGTTTTAGTTTTTTTGCTGCCGCTTCCACGTCCGCGCTTAAAAGGACCTCGTGTGCGCGCCCTCCCTCCCGTCTTCGTCAGGATGCTGGAGACCCGGGCGAGGAGCGGAAAGCGGTGGCACCCGCCTCCACCGAGGAGCCCCACGCGGCGGGCGCCTCGGATTTGGCGAAACGAATCAAAAATCTGAAGAAGAAATTGAGACAGATCGAGGAACTGGAGCAGAAGATCCAGTGCGGGGAGTTGCTCCAGCCCAGCAAGGAACAGCAGGAAAAGCTGGCCCGGAAGTCCGCGTTGGAACAGGAGCTGGCATCGCTGGAGTAACTCTGCCAGGCGGAAGAAAGTCCGGATCCGTTGTCTCTGGAGAGTCGCGTTTTTTTCTTGTTTTTTTACTTTATTTCACCTTTGTCCGCCACGGTTCTCCCGCTCTCCTCCTGCCGCTCGTCTCGGCGTCGCGTTTCCACCGGCCGGGGGCCCTTCACGTGCTCGGTCGACAGCCCCACGACACGTGCGATTACTCGAGTAAGCCGAATCACGGTCCGATCATCGCTCCACTCGGTCGCATCGCGTCCGCCGCTGGACTGAGGGGCGACGGGGGCGGCACTTGACGAGGTCGTCGTCGTTGAGCTCATCGCGCCGTGCGGTTGTGGCTTGGCGGGGTGGGGGCGGGGGGGGGGGATGGCGTGGAGGTTTCCAGCATTTCGGAAGGCAGCGTGTTGGGGAAGCGGGGGGGGGTCAGCCGCGGTTTTGGAAACTTCTCGCGTAACCGATCGTGACGAAAGACGCCGATTGCGACCTCGGTCGACCGGTCCACCCACCGGTTGACCGCTGCTGCCGATCGTCCTCGCCGCCCCCCACGGAGCCCCCCCCCCCTCCTTGACCACACGGTCTCCCGAACGGGCCGCCGCGCCGCTCCTCGGTCGGCAGCCGGCCCACCTCGTCGCGATGCGCTGAAGGCTGTCTCGGTCGCCGCTGCTCGTCGAGAAATAAAGGGAGGCAGCCACGCCCCGCTGTGTTTTACCTCTGCGGATTCCTCCGGCCCTTTCAATTGTAAACACACGGCTGCGCACGCACGCACGCTCCTGCACGTACTTGTGCACACACACACGTACACGGAGGGCTCTCAATAGGAGGTAAGCGCCGCCGTCTCGGTGCTCATTTGACCAGGAAGTCATTTGGGCTCTTGACGGAGCGATGCCGCGAGAATTGGCGCCTGAGCGATGGTCACAAACGCAGACTCGGCGGTGTTGGTAAACAGCACCATTGTTTAATAATGAGTTTTCTCGTACAGGATCAACATCACCGTCGCCTTTGTCGATTGCCACCGATCTCCGCGGAGTTCACGCGTGACATTGCGTGCAGAGGGGTGAGGTGAAAGGTGCACAGGTGCGAGGAGGGGGTCTCCATCCACGGAGAGTGAACTTCAGGGTGACATTTAGCCCCACGTTGACCCCCACGTTGACCCCACGTGCTGGAAGAGAGGGGTGGGCGTACTCACTTCAACCCACTGTCACGTGTGCGATTGACCAGTGCAACCCCCCCCCCCCCCATGTGCACTGCGGAAATGTGATTCATCGTCCCGCGACGCGTTTAACCGGCGCGGAAGAGTGGACCGAACACATCTTAGGGTCACGCCGTACGGCGGAGGCCCTGCCGCGGGCGGTAGCGTGAGCAGGCAATTGCAGGGTCTGCACATTTACACGTGAGGTGACGTCCCAATACACCCGTACAAAGAAACAAACATGCTGATGAGACCCGGAGAAGAAATTTTTTTTTTGGATTTTTGACGCTCAAGCAAATGCTGCTTGGAAACGAACGGTTCGCAAGGCCTGTTGACCCGACTGGCATCGTAGTCGGAACAGAAAGAGGCCCTTCCTGCCTGCGTTCTGATCGCGTATTGCTCAGCTGCCTGGCCACACGTACCTCTTAGTCACAGGCTACCCGTACAGCTAGCCGGGGCTTTGACTCTGGAAGAGAAACGCAGTCGGTCACCGGTCGTGAGAGACGACCAATTAATTCCTGATGCGTTACAAAAGCAAACAGACTCCCCGCCGGAAGTAATCATCCTGACGACCCACGGCATGCGGTGGTGGGGTGAGGGTCAGGTGAGATGGCCCTCGATGTCGGGGCTGAGACTCGCCTCCTGAAGAGGGCGGTGGGGGAAGAAGGGGGCATTGGTGGGCGCGTGCGGGAGATGGGAACGGGAGATGGGCGATGGGGGGAGATTCCGTCACGCCGAGTTAATGAGATGCTTTTACGCTGCCACGGTGACGGCTTAGCGGACTTGCTTCAACAATCGTGACCCCCTGTAGCCTTCGCTAAGTCCAGCGCCCCCCCCCAAGTACAATCTTCTGTGTTGAAATGTAAATCGTGCAAACTGGTGGGCGGAAGAAAAATGCGTAAAAGTGTTTGTGGTAGCGAGAGAAGGTCCACTGTGTGTGGTGGTGGTAGCGAGAGAAGGCCCACTGTGTGTTGTGGTAGCGAGAGAAGGCCCACTGGATGTGGTGGTGGTAGCGAGAGAAGGCCCACTGTGTGTGGTGGTGGTAGCGAGAGAAGGCCCACTGAGTGGTTGTGGTAGCGAGAGAAGGTCCACTGGGTGTGGTGGTGGTAGAGAAGGCCCACTGTGTGTGGTGGTGGTAGCGAGAGAAGGTCCACTGGGTGTGGTGGTGGTGGTAGCGAGAGAAGGCCCACTGGGTGTGGTGGTGGTAGCGAGAGAAGGCCCATTGGGTGTGGTGGTGGTAGCGAGTGAAGGCCCACTGGGTGTGGTGGTAGCGAGGGAAGGCCCACTGGGTGTGGTGGTGGTAGCGAGAGAAGGCCCACTGGGTGTGGTGGTGGTAGCGAGAGAAGGCCCATTGGGTGTGGTGGTGGTAGCGAGTGAAGGCCCACTGGGTGTGGTGGTAGCGAGAGAAGGCCCACTGGGTGTGGTGGTGGTAGCGAGAGAAGGTCCACTGGGTGTGGTGGTGGTAGCGAGAGAAGGCCCACTGTGTGGTGGTGGTAGCGAGAGAAGGTCCACTGGGTGTGGTGGTGGTGGTAGCGAGAGAAGGCCCACTGGGTGTGGTGGTGGTAGCGAGAGAAGGCCCATTGGGTGTGGTGGTGGTAGCGAGTGAAGGCCCACTGGGTGTGGTGGTAGCGAGGGAAGGCCCACTGGGTGTGGTAGTGGTAGCGAGAGAAGGTCCACTGAGTGTGGTGGTGGTAGCGAGAGAAGGCCCACTGAGTGTGGTGGTGGTAGCGAGAGAAGGCCCACTGGGTGTGGTGGTGGTAGAGAGAGAAGGTCCACTGGGTGTGGTGGTGGTAGCGAGAGAAGGCCCACTGGGTGTGGTGGTGGTAGCGAGAGAAGGCCCACTGAGTGTGGTGGTGGTAGCGAGAGAAGGCCCACTGGGTGTGGTGGTGGTAGCGAGAGAAGGCCCACTGGGTGTGGTGGTGGTAGCGAGAGAAGGCCCACTGGGTGTGGTGGTGGTAGAGAGAGAAGGCCCACTGAGTGTGGTGGTGGTAGCGGGAGAAGGCCCACTGAGTGGTGGTGGTAGCGAGAGAAGGCCCACTGAGTGTGGTGGTGGTAGCGAGAGAAGGCCCACTGCGTGTAGTGGTGGTGGTAGCGAGAGAAGGCCCACTGAGTGTGGTGGTGGTGGTAGCGAGAGAAGGCCCACTGTGTGTGGTGGTGGTAGCGAGAGAAGGCCCACTGCGTGTAGTGGTGGTGGTAGCGAGAGAAGGCCCACTGAGTGTGGTGGTGGTGGTAGCGAGAGAAGGTCCACTGTGTGTGGTGGTAGCGAGAGAAGGCCCACTGGGTGTGGTGGTGGTAGCGAGAGAAGGCCCACTGCGTGTGGTGGTGGTGGTAGCGAGAGAAGGTCCACTGGGTGTGGTAGTGGTAGCGAGGGAAGGCCCACTGGGTGTGGTGGTGGTAGCGAGAGAAGGTCCACTGTGTGTGGTGGTGGTAGCGAGAGAAGGCCCACTGTGTGTGGTGGTGGTAGCGAGAGAAGGCCCACTGTGTGTGGTGGTGGTAGAGAGAGAAGGCCCACTTGGTGTGGTGGTGGTAGCGAGAGAAGGCCCACTGGGTGTGGTGGTGGTAGCGAGGGAAGGCCCACTGGGTGTGGTGGTGGTAGCGAGAGAAGGTCCACTGGGTGTGGTGGTAGTGCTAGCGAGAGAAGGCCCACTGAGTGTGGTGGTGGTAGAGAAGGCCCACTGGGTGTGGTGGTGGTAGCGAGAGAAGGTCCACTGGGTGTGGTGGTGGTAGTGAGAGAAGGCCCACTGTGTGTGGTGGTGGTAGCGAGGGAAGGCCCACTGTGTGTGGTGGTGGTAGCGAGAGAAGGTCCACTGGGTGTGGTGGTGGTAGCGAGAGAAGGCCCACTGAGTGTGGTGGTGGTAGAGAAGGCCCACTGGGTGTGGTGGTGGTAGCGAGAGAAGGTCCACTGGGTGTGGTGGTGGTAGTGAGAGAAGGCCCACTGAGTGTGGTGGTGGTAGCGAGAGAAGGTCCACTGTGTGTGGTGGTGGTAGCGAGAGAAGGCCCACTGAGTGTGGTGGTGGTAGCGAGAGAAGGCCCACTGAGTGTGGTGGTGGTAGCGAGAGAAGGCCCACTGGGTGTGGTGGTGGTAGCGAGAGAAGGCCCACTGGGTGTGGTGGTGGTAGCGAGAGAAGGCCCACTGGGTGTGGTGGTGGTAGCGAGAGAAGGCCCACTGGGTGTGGTGGTGGTAGCGAGAGAAGGCCCACTGGGTGTGGTGGTGGTAGCGAGGGAAGGCCCACTGTGTGTGGTGGTGGTAGCGGGAGAAGGCCCACTGGGTGTGGTGGTGGTAGAGAGAGAAGGCCCACTGGGTGTGGTGGTGGTAGAGAGAGAAGGCCCACTGGGTGTGGTGGTGGTAGCGAGAGAAGGCCCACTGGGTGTGGTGGTGGTAGAGAGAGAAGGCCCACTGTGTGTGGTGGTGGTAGCGGGAGAAGGCCCACTGGGTGTGGTGGTGGTAGCGAGAGAAGGCCCACTGGGTGTGGTGGTGGTAGCGAGAGAAGGCCCACTGGGTGTGGTGGTGGTAGCGAGGGAAGGCCCACTGAGTGGTGGTGGTAGCGAGAGAAGGCCCACTGGGTGTGGTGGTGGTAGCGAGGGAAGGCCCACTGAGTGGTGGTGGTAGAGAGAGAAGGCCCACTGAGTGTGGTGGTGGTAGCGGGAGAAGGCCCACTGAGTGGTGGTGGTAGCGAGAGAAGGCCCACTGTGTGTGGTGGTGGTAGCGAGAGAAGGCCCACTGTGTGTGGTGGTGCTAGCGAGAGAAGGCCCACTGTGTGTGGTGGTGGTAGCGAGAGAAGGCCCACTGCGTGTAGTGGTGGTGGTAGCGAGAGAAGGTCCACTGTGTGTGGTGGTAGCGAGAGAAGGCCCACTGGGTGTGGTGGTGGTAGCGAGAGAAGGCCCACTGAGTGTGGTGGTGGTGGTAGCGAGAGAAGGTCCACTGTGTGTGGTGGTAGCGAGAGAAGGCCCACTGGGTGTGGTGGTGGTAGCGAGAGAAGGCCCACTGTGTGTGGTGGTGGTGGTAGCGAGAGAAGGTCCACTGTGTGTGGTGGTGGTAGCGAGAGAAGGCCCACTGAGTGTGGTGGTGGTAGCGAGGGAAGGCCCACTGAGTGTGGTGGTGGTAGCGAGAGAAGGCCCACTGTGTGTGGTGGTGGTAGAGAGAGAAGGCCCACTTGGTGTGGTGGTGGTAGCGAGAGAAGGCCCACTGGGTGTGGTGGTGGTAGCGAGGGAAGGCCCACTGGGTGTGGTGGTGGTAGCGAGAGAAGGTCCACTGGGTGTGGTGGTAGTGCTAGCGAGAGAAGGCCCACTGAGTGTGGTGGTGGTAGAGAAGGCCCACTGGGTGTGGTGGTGGTAGAGAAGGCCCACTGGGTGTGGTGGTGGTAGCGAGAGAAGGTCCACTGGGTGTGGTGGTGGTAGTGAGAGAAGGCCCACTGTGTGTGGTGGTGGTAGCGAGGGAAGGCCCACTGTGTGTGGTGGTGGTAGCGAGAGAAGGTCCACTGGGTGTGGTGGTAGTGCTAGCGAGAGAAGGCCCACTGAG